ACTGAACTGCACCAATTCTGTCAAAAGGAGTGGTCAAAGATTCAACGCGAAGCTTGTGGATGGCTACCAAAAGTGCCTAATTGAAGTGAAAATGGCCAAGGGACATGTAACCAAATATTAGCACTGCTGTATGTATATTTTTGACCCAGCAGATTTGATCACTTTTTCTGTTAACCCATAATAAAGTCATAAAAGAACCAAACTTCATGAATGTTTTTTGTGACAAAGAAGTATCTGTTCCAATCACTCTATCAGAGAAAAATCAGACTTGTAGAAATAACGGGAAACTCAAGAGAGCCATGACATTATATTCTTTACAAGTGTATGTAAACTTTTGACCACAACTGTACGTATGAAAGCCTGGGGCAGTTATATTAATTCACTAAAAGACCATGAAACCATGCCCCCTTAATGTCTCCAGATGGGTAAAGCTCTGAGTTGAATGTGAAAATGTTAAAATGCTCCTCTAAGTCATCTTCAGTAATAACTGTGCCTTCACAGCATTTAAGCTTTACAAGTTCTACAGTGATAGCAGACTCTCTGGCCCAGGATCCTGTAAAGCCACAAACAAGCTGCCCTTCTGACATGGTGGGGGTCGCTGGGATGTATGCAGCTAGCTGAAGAAGACCACAGACTCAGGTCTGAAGAAAGCACCTCAACTCCTCTGCATTAAAAATAACTTTTTGTGTTTAGATAATTCTCCTTAAAAGATGCGAGAACACAAAAAATAAAACATTATGGAGTTTGAAGGTTCATTGATGACACTAGAAATAGTAGTTAGATTTTTTTTATGTCAAAAATATTTATATAAGAAAATAACATCTTTTATTTAAAGTATCGGGTCTGCTGACTTAAAGTCAACGTAATGTAATCTCACTTTATAGAAATGAAACCTCAGAGTTAAAGTCCTTTTCCAGTGATTATTGTGTCTGCCTCATAATGACTTTACAGTGTGGTGAACACACTGGAGTAAATGTCATATTTGATTCAAACACTGTGTAATATCCTTGCAGTACATTTACCCTGGGACCACCAGGGTAGACTGATTGACTTTGTTTGTGTCCAGAGAGAAAGGGCCAACGGGTGAGGTGTACTGTAAAAAAAAAAAAAAAAAAAAAAAAAAAAAATCCTAATTTTACAGAAAATAACTCAAAAAGTGAAAACTCATATATTATATAGATTCATGACACACAGAGTGAAATATTTCAAGCCTTTATTTCTTTTAATTTAGATGATTATGGCTTAGAGCTAATGAAAACCCAAAATTCAGTATCTCAGAAAATTAGAATATTATATAAGACCAATAAAAAAAAAAAGGATTTTTAATACAGAAATATTGGCCTACTGAAAAGTATGTTCATGTATATGCACTCACATATGGGCTCCTTCTGCATGAATTACTGCATCAATGTGGCGTGGCATGGAGGCGATAAGCCTGTGGCACTGCTGAGGTGTTATGGAAGCCCAGGTTTCTTTGATAGCGGCCTTCAGCTCATCTGCATTGTTGGGTCTGGTGTCTCTCATCTTCCTCTTGACAATACCCCATAGATTCNTTTAGATGATTATGGCTTAGAGCTAATGAAAACCCAAAATTCAGTATCTCAGAAAATTAGAATATTATATAAGACCAATAAAAAAAAAAAGGATTTTTAATACAGAAATATTGGCCTACTGAAAAGTATGTTCATGTATATGCACTCACATATGGGCTCCTTCTGCATGAATTACTGCATCAATGTGGCGTGGCATGGAGGCGATAAGCCTGTGGCACTGCTGAGGTGTTATGGAAGCCCAGGTTTCTTTGATAGCGGCCTTCAGCTCATCTGCATTGTTGGGTCTGGTGTCTCTCATCTTCCTCTTGACAATACCCCATAGATTCTCTATGGGGTTCAGGTCAGGTGAGTTTGCTGGCCAATCAAGCACAGTAATACCACGGTGATTAAACCAGGTATTGGTACTTTTGGCAGTATGGGCAGGTGCCAAGTCCTGCTGGAAAATGAAATCAGCATCTCCATAAAGCTTGTCAGCAGAAGGAATTTCCTGATAGACGGCTGCGTTGACTTTGGACTTGATAAAACACAGTGGACCAACACCAGCAGATGACATGGCTCCCCAAATCATCACTGACTGTGGAAACTTCACACTGGACTTCAAGCAACTTGGATTCTGTGCCTCTCCATTCTTCCTCCAGACTCTGGGACCTTGATTTCCAAATGAAATGCAAAATTTACTTTCATCTGAAAAGAGGACTTTGGACCACTGAGCAACAGTCCAGTCCTTTTTCTCCTTAGCCCAGGTAAGACACTTCTGACGTTGTCTCTGGTTCAGGAGTGGCTTGACACGAGGAATGCGACAATTGTAGCCCATGTCCTGGATATGTCTGTGCGTGGTGGCTCTTGATGCACTGACTCCAGCCTGAGTCCACTCCTTGTGAATCTCCCCCAAATTCTTGAATGGCCTTTGCTTCACAATCCTCTCAAGGCTGCGGTTATCCCTGTTGCTTGTGCACCTTTTTCTACCACACTTTTTCCTTCCACTCAACTTGAATATGCTTGGATACAGCACTCTGTGAACAGCCAGCTTCTTTTGCAATGACTTTTTGTGGCTTACCCTCCTTGTGGAGGGTATCAATGACTGTCTCTTGGACAACTGTCAAGTCAGCAGTCTTCCCCATGTTTGTGAAGCCTACTGAACCAGACTGAGAGACCACTTAAAGGCTCAGGAAACCTTTGCAGGTGTTTTGAGTTAATTAGGTGATTAGACTGTGACACCGTGAGTCTACAATATTGAACTTTTTCACAATATTCAATATTTCTGAGATTAGCTGTTTTCATTAGCTGTAAGCCATAATCATCAAAATTAAAAGAAATAAAACGTTTGAAATATTTCGCTCTGTGTGTAATGAATCTATATAATATACGAGTTTCACTTTTTGAATTGAATTACTGAAATAAATGAACTTTTCCATGATATTCTAATTTATTGAGATGCACCTGTACAAACAAGGAACGAACTGAACAGAAGCTGAAGCACGGGGAAACTCAGGGGACTCTAACAGCAGGTAAAACGGAGGACAATTACAGGAGATAACAACAGGCGACATGACGAACCAGACATGAACAGATGAACTGACCCAGACAAAGGGGAGAACAGAGACTATATAGACACAAGGGAGGCAAGGGTGACTGAACACAGGTGAAACACATTAGCGCGGCGCAGACAATCACCACACAGAGAAACAAGACCAAGACAGGAAGTAAAAATATTGACACACAAGGAAACCAACTACAAAATAAAATAGGACGTGACAAAATCCAAACAAACTCAAACAGAAAGTGTCTGCCATGGCAAACCATGACAGTCTCCTGTTATTTCTTTTCCCCCCAGATGCACCAAGGATCCAGCTGATTACTGGCAGTTTGAAGGTGGATTTTTCTTCATCTGCTGCGTTGCACCGTCACTTCTGGTATAGATTCTTTGACCTTTGTGGTATGTTTTGATTTGACTTATTAATACACTGTATAGTTGGGATTCTGACATAAAAGATAGTATAATGTTTGTCCACACATGTTGTCAGAACTATATGGAGAATACTGTGGAAAACAAGATAAAACTGAATTGGAAGATACAAGCTAAAAAACAACAGACCACACCCCTTCAGCTCCACAGCCCCCCTCTTTCAGAGGTGACATCATGACCTCCTCATTATAGTAACCTTAACAGGCAAGATAGACCAATGGAGAAATGCCAGTTTTAGTTCTTCAGATCATCCCGGGGGCTCTGAAGACCTATTTGTGAATAATTGGTTGATATTGTAAATTTACATCTGAATATATTAAATAAAAGTGTTATAAAGTCAATAGTGGTGTGTGTGTTATTTGTAATTAAGTTTCCAACCCCACTTTAGTTGAAAGACTATATACAGAGACTTAACAATTTAATTTGCATTCCTTCAGTATATTATATTTCATGAGAAATGTAAGAAAATTGATCTGAATCTGAATCATTAAATATTGTATTTAGATTGTTATTCTACAGGTTTTTAACATTACTTACATACTTAAAGATTCAATGTTAACACAAATACTGCAAGTTGAAGTTTGAGATGATTTTAATCTGTTTTACACAGTAATTTTTACTTTGTCTTCCAAAACAAAAGGTTTACTTTACAACATTAGGCATGTGTTAATATTTCATTGATTGACACTTAATTTTATTATTAGGAAAATGTTTCTATATAGAAACTTTATTGGCATCACTTTATTGATGGTGTTTGATCATAATAAATTAATCTGTAAAATAAGTTTTTCTCTGTAGAAATATTAATGACACTTTCCGTAAATTTATTGTTTTTACACTTTATTTGAATTAGGATATTTTACTTTAATTTTAAGGTTTTTGTTTGGCAGCCGCTGCTTCCAGTCATTTGACCGTTTTTTTACGATTCTTTTTTAACAGTGTGCACTGAAACAGAGTCAGTGAGCAGCTTGATGTAGCCGACCAGAATGGATGTCTATGATACATACAACAGAATGTTATGGAGTACATCGGGTCTCAAATACAGTGTCAGGGGTGACCTGAACATGGCAGCCTGAAGAATAACCATCATTTAAAATGAAAATAATAATAATATATTGATTGGGAATATGTAGAAGCTGAAGTAGATTATGACTATTAGTCAACTTATGTAGAAGGTTTATACCTTCAACTTAATGTCATTTTATGATTATTATCTATTACATAGTTCGTGCGAGTTGCTATCAAACTGCACAGACCCTTGCCTGGATATCTATTGTTTTCTATCTCTTTCTATCTCTACTATTTATTGATCATTGATGTGACGTTTCATTTCTGCAGCCTTCTGAGATGTTTAACGTGTCTTGGTTATTTTTGGGTTTCGCGGGGTTTGTGTTGAACCAGTGAGAGCCAGTGAACTGTCGCTGTGAAACAGTGAAGTCAGCCATGATGATGCAGCTGCTGCAGGCGGAGTCTGGCGGTCTGAACCCTCTCCCTCGGTCTGGCTGGCTGCTGTCCTGTCATCGGTCTGGGTGTGGTTTTGCAGTCAGCGGTACCGTTAGCAGGAAACCGAGCTCCAGTCCGTTTCACTCTGAGGCGAAACAAAGAAAAAACATTTCCACCAGCGAGCGGTTCAAAGTGTCTGAAAGTCGCGTTTGTTTCCTGGACACGGGAGGGCGTTAGTTTGGCGCCGTTGTTCTGATGGGAAAAAGTTTTCTGTTGGTCTCGCTCACTGCTCGTTTGATTTAATAACTTTTATAATAAAACCTGAACCGGACGTAGAAGAAAGGAAAGATGCCGAAAACGGTAAGACTGAAAACTGCATGAACGTCATCACGTATAAACTGTCTGTCTCTTTGTGTCTCCATTATTCAGCTTTCATTGCACTGAATGTTTGACCGGGACTTGATCATTAAACAGACCGGAGTCCCTCCCTGATACATTATTACATATTATTTCATATTATTTTAAAATCTGTTCCATCCTTTCACACTCTCCGAGGATTACTGGGGTACTTTCCGTTAGTTGTGTGCGCGTGCGCGCTCCCGCCCGTGTGTTCATTAAAATTAGCGCCTTTAATCAGACGTCTCACCAGGCCTTCGGGCCTGGTACATGACAATAAAACCTTACTGCAGCTTTAGTCCGCAGCTGAAGACACTCACACCAGCAGAGGGTTTCAGCTGAAGCCGCTGTGAGGCTGCCGTTGCGCGGGCTAGTCCTCCAGGCCTCCCTCTCTTAGGTCTAACAAGGAGGGATTTGAACTGTCACTCAGGCCAGCTGTGTCTGCCAGCTCTGGGGCAAATGGAGGCAAATGCTCAGAGGCACTTGGAGCTTTTATGGCAGGTCGCCACTGATAAGAAAAGAGGGGCAAGATTTAGCTCAGAGCTGTGTTATCAAAGGAAGAAGCTAGAGAATAGATGTGAGTGGGTGGTGATTGGGCTCTGAACAAAGAGGAGAAAAGGCTCATGCTGCATCAGGGGCAAACAGAAGTGAAAGTAGTTTCTATCTCCATCTCATCTGTACCCCTGATGAAGACAGTCTGATTTTGACTCAGCTCAATGCTTTTAGTAAAAAGAAGATAATAGAGTGGAGTCTGTGTGGTCAGTATTCTTAACCACAGTTTGCTCTGAGCTGTGACACCCACATACAAACTGACAATAAAAGGAACATTACTCTACAGAAAGAGTCACTTATGACCGTGAGATGAAGGTGATCTATGCACAAAGCCATTTACATTCCACAAGACTGTAATTCATTAAATCAGTATTTATTTAAAAAAACAACAACATCAGATTACCTTGATCTCTTATAAAAACAATATTATTTTTGTAGTCAGTCTGACTCTAGGTCTTTTTTAGAAAAGCATGTGCATGTATCACTGTTGTCTTCACATATGACTTCTGACTTGTGAACTTCTGCACTCCCAAATTACAAACAGAAAAATAGTACTAAGGGCTGACCTGCTCTCTTCCTGCGGTATTGTTTCTGCTAGTACTTCCTCGATCTTTTTCCCGGCGGTCAACCAGAAAAAAACGTTACAGCATCCTGGCATTTAAAGCCTTTACTGCCCCGTCTTTCCAAAAGGAATTCCTCTCATCATACCAGCATTTAAAGTAGTTTTCAGTGACTATGAAAGGATTTGCTAAATACTAAAAACTGAGCTATTAGGGTAGTTAATAAAACTCAGTTCAGTATGCATGTGAGCAGTGACACATTATTATAGAGGTTGATATCCTGTTTGTAGTAAGTGGAGCTAAACAATATTCTGTATCACACTGAAGCTGATACACATGAACTTTATTTTTATGATCGTTATGTATTTTTAGTCCTTCACTTAGTCTTTGTGCCAAATCTCTAAAGAGTGCAGCTGCAAAGCTGAGTAGCAGCCTATAGTCCTGTATGTGCAGCAGCTGCTGCAGTAGCAGTGAAGGACCTCAAAGAAGCTGTTTGACAGTAACCATCAGTTCACAAGCACAGACATACTGCAGGTACAGCAGCTCTGTTGTAGAGCATGATGACAGGAGAGGATTATGGGATATGACAGTATTCATATTCAATATCCTAGACTCATTCTGGGAATTCAACAATTATCAATGTCATGATGTACACAAAAATATAAAGGAGATGTTTTGTTCCCTTTGTGCTGATGCAGAAATACATTAGAGTATTATAAGAGTTCTACATTATATATATATACATTAAAAGAGTATAAGCTGTTGCATTGTTAAGTTATCTCTCCCTGCACCTGACGGATGGTGATATCAACAGTGAAAAGGTTCAAATGCAGACCTGTTGGTGCAACACTCAGTGATCTGTTGCCTTTAGTAAACCTCCCTGCGAACATGTAACAGACACAGAAAGAAGGAAGCTAAACACACTGATTCAGCAAATACTCTGAAACTCATTCTGCACCCAGTAAAAGTTGTGTTCCCAATTTCTAGTTACATCCACAACAAGCTGGCTCAAGGAGTAAAAGATTCATGGTGTAAATAAGAGTTTTTCCATGAACCGTTTTCCAAACAGTTGTTTATTCAGTGTTTTAGTGAAATATAAAAACCCTGACGTTTCACAAAAGCTGTAATTATTGAGAGACTCTGCTCGACTCCTTTTGGCAGTGCTTCAGTTTCCCAAGGAAGTCATGTTGTGACTCAAGGTTTCTGCACTTACATCAGTTCCTTTCTGGTAATTTCCTCGCCTGCAGCCTTATATGGACTTTCACATCATGGTCTAGCTTGTCTCCTCCCTGCTTCCCCCAGCGTGGTCCTCAGATGCCATGCTCCACTTTAGATTGCATTACAGCAGTGCAGCAGGCCCAGGACTTGCTGTGTTTATCAGCCTGTTATTTTACATCCTGATGGAGCTTTAGCAGTCTTTCATTTAGATTGTTTGGATGTTGTTGTGGTCTGTAGTTGTGGATTATTATCTACTTTGTTAAGCAGTTCACATAAAATTACATTCTGAATAGACAGTTTTTCTCAAGCAGCAAACAAACATAAATAATATTCTATTTTGGTTTTATTGCTAAAATCTGACACCATGGTTTAACAATAATAAGTGTGTTCACTGACCTGTATTCGTGGTCTTTAAAAGTAATAGTTTGTTATTTTCCTACTTTCTGTTTCAACAATAGAGTTAGTCCAGGAGACAACCAGCCTGTTTTGAACTGTTTTTCATTATAAACAACCAGTGAATAATGTTAATCATCCTATCCACAAATACAGGCACAGCGTACAGTATTATTGTCATTATTATTATCACACAAAACTTGAGCATAACTTACCATTTTAGCCCATTGTGTAGAAATCGTGACAGATGCAGTTTTCCTGTTAGGACGACCAAACTTTGAACAAGTGTGTCTGTGGAGAAATGGGAAATGGAAAGAGTCAGCAGGGGATTAAATGGGTCTGTGGAGCACATAGCAGAGCAGATTAACAGTGTGTAGAGGTAGAGCTGCTGGACAAACTACAACCACATAGCTAGTTTAATGAGAGAAAATCAAACTTCTGAAAGTAAGTACTTTGTTATTATTGCTTATTAATCTATTCTTTTAGGCTTATTCTGATTTCTTGTATATTTCTACAGCTGCTGTTGGGATCAAAACATTAGTCTAAACTATTTTAAGTTTAAATCATCTAATCATTTCTATAGGGCATAACCTACTGCTGTAGATGCTAAAATAACCACTAGATACAATGACATGACAGACGAATAAGTTATGGTTAACTGGCTCTCATTATAATAATTTGTCTAGTGCAACCCTCAAGCAGAGTTCAAACTGTACATAATAAAAGAATGAAATAAGCAAAGCACTATAGTGAGCATTAGCCAGTCTAACATCACTGCATCACTGCAAACAGAGGAGCTTGTGGCTTGTATCAGTGTTTGTTTGTGTCCTGCTCTGGATCTGCTGCTGTGTATAATGACAACCTTTCCCCAGTTAATAAGGAGAACAAATCATCACTACACAAAATGAACAGAGCAGGTAGTAGGATTGAACAATGCTGGAAAAACAAATTGGGGAATTGGTCACAGGCACAGTTAAATAAGCAGTATTAGCTTCCTGTTTTGCTGTGTAATGTTTTTATTATGTGTATGGCTGTGATGAAGACAATATGTCATTAGAATAAAGTCTAGAAGTGATTGAAAGCTCAGGCAACATGCATACATAACGTTTGAGTAGCAGCAACAGATAAAATACCTTTACTAGTGAGAAATGTAGAGCAGGTGTGCCAGCTGGTGAGAGGTCAGGTGATCCAGTAAACTAGAGATAATACAGGATGTAGAGGACAAAGCAACAGTGTTGCTATGTTTTTAGTAAAAACAACAAGTAAACAGTTACATTATTCTTGTAGTGACAGTCAATACATTTAAGAAACTGTAGTCATGGGAAACAGTTTTGGAAGACCCCTCCCCTTTACATGGTCTGCCCCCCACATAGAAAGAAACCTCATCCTCTTCTTCTCCTGTAAAACCTACGTCTGCATATAGCCCCATCAGAGTGAGCTGCCATTCACATCACACATTTCTCCTACAGAGGAGGGGACCTGTTTTTTGCTACATACATGTTTTTCCTGCCGAGTCCAAAGTCATTAGTCTCGTAGATAATGGTGATATTTGTATGTTGGCTCCAGAGGAAATAAACAGGCTTTCCCTTGTATTATTGGCTTTAAGTGACATCATAACGAGGCTGGTTATACACACAGGATCATTTTACATTCCCACATTCTCACACTTCATATTCAGCTTGGCATCAGGAAGTGTTAACTGCATGCTGCTGGCAGTGTCTCGATTTCTAATGCTAACGCCACATTTTAACATAACTGTTCAACATGTGCTAATCAAATTTTAATGTCTGTCTCTAAATCATGTTTTTGTGCTGTTACTGTCCTCAGTTTGTCAGCTAAGAAATCGAGTAGTGGAGGGTTGTAAGCATGGTTGCCGTCGTTACCAGGCTTGATCCATTGTTAAGGACTTGTTGACCTGATTTGCTGACCTTTATGGTGCATGGTGTGACTCAGAACTGTGTGTATTGTTATGTGATGGTGTTTGTCATTACAGCCTGTTATGAGAGGTGCTGCTGTGCTCAGCTGACCACTCACTTAAAGCAGGTGTGCCTTGTATTGTTACATTGGACCAATCCCAACCCTCACTGGGGACCAGGTATGGTCATGTGAAACAAACCAGTGTTGGGGACCATCCTGAAACTACTTGGTGGTATGTTATGTGTGGCCTTGGCTTTGATTGGAGGTTGAGGCTGTAAACAGCACACTAAGGTGACACTGGTGTGTCAGTGTATGGGAGGTGACTGAATGCTGGTACGTCACGTGTTTTCAGTGAATATTTTTATCGTTAATGGTTTCTGTAACATATGAAGGTAATGTTCCCACATATATGATGAAAAAATAATAAGCTAAACAACAGTACTCCAATATATGTTTCTGCACTGTTCTGCTTCTATAAATCACACATTTTCTTTGAGTTTCAGCAGTTTCACTTCCTCTCTCTTGAGAGGTAACCTGAGGTGTTTCCTAGGGTTCACTTTTGGGTTAACTTTTCTGTCTTAATATAATTATATAACAAACATGACCACTTCCTACAAATGATAGTTAGTGCTTTAATTCGCTCTCTCGTGTCATGTTTTCTCTTTTAGCCTTCTTCCATTGGCCAATTGAATTCAACAGATTGCATTTAACTTAGTTGTGGATGTTAGGGATTTTAGCCATGCTAACAGCAAGGCTCTATGGAAGGAAATGTATATAGGTCCAGCACATTGGTCCAGGCTGAAATATCTTAACAACTAATGGCTGGATGAAACGACATTCTTAGTCCCCAGCAGATGAATCCAAATAACTTTGGTGACTTTTCATGTTGTTCCATCCTCATGTCAAAGTTTCCATCTGTCTTCTTGTTTGTTTGAGATATATAATAGAGTTAAGAAGCAGTTTCAGGCAGTCAGTGAAATCGCTTCACACACCCTAAATGTCCTTCAACAAGCCACTTGTTTATCATAAAGCAAATTATTATAACACTGTCACAAGATTGGTCTTTAGACATGCTGCTAAAGGTTTAGCTTGTTAAGAACTGATGAAATGATTTGTGGAGTCTAGTTTTGGTGTGATAAAAAAAATGTTCAGAATAAGTCATGGAAACATGACACGTGGGCCTGAGAGGGTTTTTGAGCATGTGCTAATAATAGCGTGTTAAGTGTTTTTGAATTCTGGCCATGAGAGACACACCCTAACCAAGCTGAAAATTTATAAGCGTAGTTCCTTTTTCATGCAAGATTAAGCATTCTGACTCAGGAAATGAAACTGTTTAAACCCAAAGCAGGGTGGCTGTGAACTCAGCTCTTATCTGCATGAATGGAAAAATGTTCATCAAAGTTCAGTTGTCAGTTTAAAGAGTTGTATGTCTAGACGACTAAACATCTGTGCTGCTGTGTGTAGGCCCAGATTGTAGGTTCCACTCCAACTCAGACTGCTGGTGATGACAGGAAGTGACAGAGGGGCAAGTGTCCTGAGCAGTAAATGGGGTCCTGCTGACATGAATGGGAAAGAACGCAACTCTAATCAGCCCCACAACTGGGAAATAATGCATACCATTGTTGTTCAGGGCAGGCGTGGGCCTCAGCCTGCGCAGTTATTTCCCAATAGACATGCATGCTGCTGTTGATCACTATGAGACAGAGAAAAAGAGAAATGCCTACAAAGTGAGTTTACCAAGTACAGAAATTAATCTATTCTGAGGTTAAATAAATGTATTCAACATTTGACATGAAACTGTGCAATCCACAAACATTTCAAGTCATTTAAATAAGAAGTGCCTCACTGACTTTAACAAAATGTGTTACCTGAAGGGGAATCAAACACACAGTCACAGTCTGCTCTTGCTAAAGAGCTCAGCACAAAGCTGACAGGTTGGTTGATACATGGCAGGATGTGGATGACTCTCTTGAGAGCTCAGTGTTTAGCAGCCGTGCCTCACAAGGCCCAGCCGCTAGAGGATGTGGTTACTTCCTGCAGATAAGTTCTGTACTGAGATAGAGCCAGACTGGTACAATACTTATACACAGTGTGGAAGCAAGAGACATGGTCCTTCATGAATTCTATAAAAGATCAAAATATTATTTTTTATCATATGATTATTGTTTTATTGGCTGTTGAGTTTGTTTAGTGACAGTTGTGGGTGAACCTTTGCTTCTTAATCAGCTGATTTAAAATTAAATGTGTATAAAACTGTATGTAATTATATCATCTTTTAATTTTCAAAAGGTTTGTCTTTTGAACATTTCACATTATACATATAGTAACTTTTACGTCAAAAAAAGTTGTTTATTTCAGTGTCAGCATCAAATAACCCTAATCGTTTCTCATGCCAGAGGTGTATGTACACTGTTGAAGTAATTTTTTAAAAAGGGGTGATTGCTGAAACCATAAAACAAAATTCATAACATGGATTCAACATGGGTTTTTTTAAGACACAAGAGCCAGTAATGTCCTGATCATGACGGTTTATTTTAGTGCAGTGATATATGTGAGATATTTTAACTTCCTGTCTGCATCTACAAATGGCTCATTCTTCCAATTTGCTCCCTTCCTCAGATTAGTGTAAGAGTCACCACAATGGATGCTGAACTGGAGTTTGCCATTCAGCCCAATACAACAGGAAAGCAGCTCTTTGACCAGGTATGAGAAACTTCTCTCATGTAACCAGTGTTATGTGCTTTCCAATAACGTCAACAAACTTTGAATCAAACTTGATTTAATTTTTTTTTTAAGGTTTTTGTATGTGGTAAGTTAAAAAACATAAAGCTGTAAGCAGCAGTTTCCCATTACGTATAATGACGTGTAATTACCTTACTATGTAGGTAGCTGTGCAGGCACTTTATGGAAATACTTCAATCCCATTTATTTTTATGTTGATTATTATTATTATTTTATCACATGTGCAATGTTTGGAGGTTCTTTGTCCTTTTCTTAGGTTTTAAAAAAATAAGTATTTGTAGTTTTTATTTAGTTTGATATTTGTAGGATAGATGAGAAACAAAGTAATCTATTAAATGTTTCGTCTACAGATCATCTGAAAATAGTAAATAAAATGCTCTTCACAATTTCCCTGAGCCCAAGGTGATGTCATGAGATGTCTTGTTTTCTTTGACCAACAGTCCAAAACTCAAAGATATTGAATTTACTATCATGTGGGACAAGGAAAAGCAGCACATATTCAGATTTGAAAAGCTGGAACCATAAAATGTTTGGCTCTTATATATTAAATCAATTAATTAAATAAAAATTAAAATTAAAATACATGATGGATATTCAGTCATACAGATTTCTTCAGTTCAGTTCAAAATTATTATCATTTTTGTTGTTGATAAAGAGGACATTAACAATAGTTGTGCTTGGATGTTTTAAGGTTGTTAAGACCATTGGGCTGCGGGAGGTTTGGTACTTTGGACTCCAATACCAGGACACAAAGGGTTTCTCTACATGGCTCAAGCTCAATAAGAAGGTGAGCTCTTATTGAACATTCTTCTTCCCTCCTTTGTCAAGATCGAACTATTCTGTGGAATTCAAGTCTATTTAAAGAACCATAACCTCTACGCCTCACTGCGTTTTATTTTAGGTGACAGCCCAGGATGTGAGGAAGGAAAGCCCACTGCTGTTTAAGTTCCGTGCCAAATTCTACCCTGAAGATGTGTCAGAGGAGTTAATCCAGGACGCCACACAGCGGCTGTTCTTCCTGCAGGTGAAGGAGGGAATCTTAAATGACGACATTTACTGCCCTCCAGAGACAGCGGTCCTCCTGGCCTCCTACGCGGTCCAGGCCAAGTATGGTGACTACAATAAGGAAGTCCACACACCAGGCTATCTGTCCAGTGAACAGCTGCTCCCTCAGAGGTAACACAGCTGTCATCACCATTTCAACCTGCCTGTTAATATCAGATAGATGTTGCATTGCAGCCAGTGTGTGTTGGTATGAGATGTGTTGATGTCTCATGTTCACAGAGTTCTGGACCAGCACAAACTCAACAAGGACCAATGGGAGGAGAGGATTCAGGTGTGGCACGAAGAGCACAAGGGCATGATGAGGTAACTACTGGCACACATGTTCACTTGTTTATAGGTAAAGGTAGCTATACACCTAAAGGAGAGAAACATCTTTGCCCCCCCTTTCAATAATTGCTACATAAAGAAGATCTCTCTCTCTCTCTCTCTCTCTCTCTCTGGAGCGTCTGTCAAACTGTTTCTCTTTAGGGCTTCAGTCATTGGAGGTTTCAGCAAACACTGGGTCACAATCTGATTCTACTTCCTTGAACGTTCCTCTCCATTGTCTTGTTCTTGTCTTCATCTGCATCCCTGCCAGCTGGAGCTCAGTGTTGTCTGATTCGGTCTGTGTGGTGATCAGGGTTAAACATGTCATGTGTCCACAGAGAGGAATCCATGATGGAGTATCTGAAGATCGCTCAAGACCTTGAGATGTATGGAGTCAACTACTTCAACATCAAGAATAAGAAAGGAACAGAGCTGTGGTTGGGAGTGGATGCACTGGGCCTCAACATATATGAACAGAATGACAAGTGAGTGGCTCCACAACAGTGTGATTATAAAAATGTTTTGTGTAATTGTCATACAGCATTATTATTAATTCCAGTGTAATGACTTTCTTTTCTCTTGCCTCAACAGAATGACACCCAAAATTGGATTTCCTTGGAGTGAAATAAGGAACATTTCCTTCAATGACAAGAAGTTTGTCATTAAACCAATTGACAAGAAAGCACCTGTACGTTAATCCTTAATAACAGACACCTAGTTACAATTAAATAATCTATATTTACAAGTCTGTGTGTGAGTTCTGATAGTAACCTCTAATGTTGCTGCTTTAGGACTTTGTATTCTATGCTCCGAGACTGCGCATCAACAAGCGCATTCTGGCTCTGTGCATGGGCAACCATGAGCTGTATATGCGCCGCCGCAAACCTGACACCATTGAGGTGCAGCAGATGAAAGCTCAGGCTCGGGAGGAGAAGAATCACAAGAAGATGGAGAGGTAAGAGCTCAACATTTAACACACAGGTTTGATCACTGATGGCTGAAATAATTTATTAAATTCAGGACAAAGCCTTCTAATGTAAATGTCCACAGTTTGTTGTATTGCAGCAAGATGACCTGATTTAAAAATATATCAGGGTCAGAAACTTCTATAACTTTAACACTGAAGCTCTGCATTCTGTGTGATGGTTATGGGATGTGTAAACGAGTGTGTTTTTAAATACCCAGTGAATAAACTGCTGATTATCTGCTCCTGATTACTCTACACTCTAATCCATCTTGCATGTCATGTACTGTCTGTTTCTATTAGAGCTCTGCTGGAGAATGAAAAGAGGAAAAGAGAACTTGCAGAAAAGGAAAAGGAAAAGATTGAAAAGGAAAAGGAGGAGTTAATGGAGAGATTAAAGCAGATTGAGGAGCAGACAAAAAAAGCCCAGCAAGGTGTGTGACTTGACAATATTGAAGAAAAGCTTGTTGTCATACTGTAATGAATGGTGACCCTGTAGTGCTTCTCTGTATGTGTGAATGTGTGTCTGCACAGAGCTGGAGGAGCAAACACAGAGGGCTCTGGAACTGGAGCAGGAGAGGAAGCGAGCGAATGAGGAGGCTGAACGCCTCGAGACTGAGCTGAGGACTGCTGAGGACGCCAAGGTGGCTCTGCTGCAGCAGTCAGAGAACCAGATGAAGAACCAAGAGCACCTGGTCAGTTATCAGAAACTATTTCTCTTATCATGGGCGTTGAAGCTAAAAAAAATACATGTACAATAAATGTTTGATGACTGAAAAGGTTGTTCTGATGCTTCAAATATAAACAATAAGAAAGTCATTTAAAAGAAAATGTCCTTTCAGGCCACAGAGTTGGCTGACCTGACTTCGAAGATTTCCCTCCTGGAGGACGCCAAGAAGAAGAAGGAAGACGAGGCAGTACAGTGGCAGCAGAAGGTGTGATCTACTGTCTCTATAGTAACCAAACAGTGGTCTTCCTTTGATTGCAGGGACAGTTCTTGTTCAGTTCTTGAAAGAACAAAGAGCACACTTTAAAACACTCAACATTAGAACTGATTACGTTAAGAGAGTGTGTTTGATTCTTCTCATTCATCACCTGATTAGGCTTTTTAACAAGAAAAGGACTTCATCCACCATATGAATCCCAAAATGTTCAATATGAAATACATCAAAAATCATGAATATATTGTGTAAAATATATAAATGAACTAATGATTTGTGAAAACTCAACTGATTTATATGAAATTATCTCACAAATTATTGTTTAATTTATATATTTACAACATAGATACAAATTAAATGGCATCTGTCTGATATTCTGCTGATCACACAGCCCCTCCCTTGTGACCCAGTGAGGACAGACATTCCTGGGGTCCTGTTGTTGTGTGTTTTTGGGGGAGGGGTGAACGCTCCCGTTTGCCTCATGTCTTTTTTTGTAAAGAGCATGTGTGCCAGGCCAGCCCCTTCATGTTAATGGGCAGTGTAACTCATTGTGGTGCTGACAGCTCTCTTTGTGTGGGGGAAATCCTGTTTAACTCTTTTGCCCCATTATGATATTCTGGCCTATTAAATACTAAGACTAATAGTGGGGCAGGTAGGCAAAACAATTGTGCATTTTGTGACTAAAGCGTAAAAGTTTCAGCATATAGTCTACATACCCTGAGGTTTTATTTTTAGACGTGGAGGCAATTTGTATCTGACTTCTAGTTTCCTCGGGAGGTCATTGACTTCAGCATTGAATTTTTCCAGTTTTTGCCCTATTTCTCTATTATAATCATGTATATAATTGCCAAAATTGCATAAAGATGCGTATTTGTTGCTGTGGCTGTGTATCATACTTTTGCTTGGAGCACCAATTTCGCAGGGGGACTGCAGACCCCACTATTTCAGGTGTTGAGGTAGCTATAGCTTGTTAAAAACACTGACTGAATTACATGAGTAGCTAGCACATTAGCGAGCATTCTAATCAGAAGCTAGCATGCTAGTTTGGTGTGGAGCACACTCATTACCCCAGGGGGCTCTGCCCTGTCCCAGAGTCACATCTTGAATGCCTCCACGTCTGAAAATAAATGTGGTACATGGTTTCTAGAAAAATGGAGAAAGTTTCATGCTTTATTCATAAAATGCACAATAACCTTCCAAATACAAACTTATCTGCTACACTATAAGTTTTCCATGTTGACATTCCAGTGTTACTCATAATTTGCTCTAATTCTCCAGCTCCTTCTAGCACAAGCACTCTTATTTATACTTTATTTCCTGTGTATATTTTGATCATTAAACGTAATTAATTAATTAAGTAATTAAATAAATTAAGAAGTATTAACAAAATACAACAGGCAAATAAGGCAGAAGAAACAGTGATACAGGGGAAAATATAATGGTCAGTCTCAGTTTCTTCTCTTAAATTTCTTTTTTTAATTTTTCTCTTTTGTAACATGTTGTCTTCCCATACTTTATGGCTGAAGTGGACTGTTGGTGTATTTAATGGATTGTTTAAACAAATTTTTAGTGTCCAAAATAATAGAAACTATGTTGTACACTGAGTGTGGTAGAGCTGAAATGATTAGCTGATTAATTCAGTTAGTTGATTGATTACCATGCTAACATGCAAAATAAAGATGGTGAACATGGGAAACATTAATAGTGTTAAACATTACTCGCATGTTAGCAATGTCATTGTGAGCATTAAGCATTGTCAGCATGCTGCCCTAAGTATTCAGCTCTTAGCACCACTCTGCCTAATGCTGCATTTCAGTCACGTCGGAGTTCAGAATGCAGCTCATCTTCTAATGGCAGAATATCTGTTTTATGACATCACAGAAAGGATGAGGATAAATGACAGAAACAGAGGCTGTCACAAATTATTTTACATCAGTTCAGTCAGAATATTACACATAATAATTTCAAATGTCACTTACTAACATGGCCCACATATATAGTCTTCATTTAGAGTTTTATTCTTCTCTTTTTAGTTGAATATTTTTATTTTTTAACTTTTTTTTTTTTTTTTTTACAATAGAAACAAACACAAAACACCACTGCCACAAACAACAGACAGAAAGACAGGGGAGTCATATTCAGGAATAAAAAGCTTCTCGTCCACAGCAGTATCAAAACAGACAGAAAAAACTGTGGGGGACTTCAAGAAAATCAGTCCATATGCAGGATCAGGCAGAGAAGAGTTTTATTCATTTAACACCATCCAAAACTGAGGACGCCAACTAAGTGACGTCAGAGCATCTGCTTCTCGGTCCTGAGCTTCCCACTACAAAGTTCCGAATTCATCCATTCATCATATTTTTCAAGTCAGAGGTTGAGAAATCTTTGAGTTCCCAGTTGTCTTTGAATGCAGCACAAATACATCCACCCAGAGCCTTTTGCATTGTCGTAAACTTGTGTTTAGCCAGAGGAGAAACTACTACTTTTAATAACAAAAACTACTGTTGTCAGTTTTTTGAAATACATTTCTATTCATTTAATGTCTGTCTACTTATCTTAATGTGGACTAGTAAATATAACCCACGATTCTGTGTTCCCTCAGGCTACCATGGTACAGGATGACCTGGAGAAGACCAAAGAAGAGCTTAAAAACAAAGTGATGGCGGCTCACGTTCAGGAGCCACTCAACGCAGAGAACGAGCACGATGAGAATGACGAGAGCAGCGCTGAGGCCAGTGCCGAGTTCACATCTGCTGCCACGTACAAGGACCGCAGTGAAGAGGAGCGCATGACTGAGGCTGAGAAGAATGAACGTTTGCAGAAGCATCTACTTGTGAGTTTCTGAGATCTTGTTTACAAGATTCAGTAGATGTGTCATTAAAGTATTGGAATAATTGATCAGAGGGATAACTGTAGAATTTTTAATAAACTAAAATGAAAGAATATGATGAAGTTAATCATACAACAAAGTAAAAAAATGCACAGTAGGTCTGATTACTGTTTTCTTGTTGTCAGCTGGTATATTAGTATGTCAACTTTACAGCATCACTGTTGTAGTGCAAGTAATGGGAATGCAATAACAATCAGGGACACTTACAATTGTTGAGGTGAAACCAAGTGAAAGTCCTCATCTCTTATTGATTTCACTTGTGATGTGAAAGGAATTTTACATTTTAATGTACAGTAATATGTGGTTAGTGCAAAAACAGGTGCAAATCACTAAAACTGTTGGTGTAATATTTTCAGAGATAAGAATGAGTCTCAGATGTTGATGGTAACGTAGCGATGTGAGGTGTTAAAACTGTGATAACTGTATTTCCAGGCTTTAAGCTCAGAGTTGGCCAACGCTCGGGACGAGACCAAGAAAACGGTGAATGACATGATCCACGCTGAGAACATGCGAGCTGGACGAGACAAGTACAAGACCCTTAGGCAGATCCGGTCAGGAAACACCAAACAGCGCATTGATGAGTTTGAATGCATGTGATGTATGCGTTCGCCAATGATGCAGCCCATACAGCTGGGCCTTTCTGCCTGGACTGCAGTCCTGCCTCACTCAAGCTGTTTTCTCTGTGCGCAAATAAATCAGATCCACAACATGACATGGCTGCACAAGCACAGCACAATGTACAAACTTGGATCTGCAAAATTCCATTTGCTATTGTTCCGAACTTTGAATTTAGGCAAGTCACTGGTTGAAAAGGGACATACTGTATTTTATTAGTAAATTCCTGACAAGGGGTTTATGTAGCATTTTAGTAATGGGCTCACACCTCATTTCATGACACATTGAGTTAGCATTTTCAATCTTTCTGTCACATTTTTGTATCATGATTTCAAATAAAAAGACTCAGAGACAAATTCAAATTTCAGCTTAAATATATTTCTGCTGTACACATGCAACAGTTTTAAAACTATGATGTGTTGCCCATAGCTGTAAAAGCAAATGCGCTGTAATCTACTCAAGCACATACACATGATATGACTGAAATGTGTGGGTGGAGCATTCATAGAGCAGTATTATTTTTTACAAATTTACAATTTATTTACTTTTAATTTGATTGTTTTTAGAATCTGCCAGCTGTTACAAATATTACAGTATTTCTTCTTCAAGTCAGTTTGTAACTACAAGGCTTCAGTGTAAATTTTATTGTTAAAGCTCAAGCACATGAATTTCTTATTTCCTTTAAAATCTGCATGGAAAACCCTGAACGGTTGACAAAATGAACTTGGCCTGAAAACAACCTAAAAACCTAAGCTTTCTCTCGTGTGTTTGCTATGTACAATTTTTAAACCAATCTTTCAATTTAGATTTTAAAAAAATGTAAATGTATTATCAACAATCTAACTCACTCTCTCATGCAACATAAAAAAGAAAGTTGCATTTCTGTCACAAACCATTCAATTCAAATCTGGTGTCTGTAAAACATTTGATTTGTTGTCTCTTTGATATCTACACAGCCCACATCTGTGGAAACTTTCAGTTGTCACTTTTCTTAACATTGAGTATAAATCAGCTTCATCATCAGTTCAGTTCAGCCTCAGTTTAAAAAACCTGTAGGACATTTGAATTTGGTTGTACTGTACCTTTTTAAGTGTTTTATTGTAGCTTTACGCCTTTTCTTTTCATTTTTAACTCTGCTTATCAGTGATGTTTGATAATCAAAATACACTTTTACATCAATGTAACCAATACAGCTCAAGGACACTGTAATTATCACATGTCAAGCTGGATTTGTGAGTGAACAAATGCCAATAAAGTGAAGCTGAAATTTTGGTTGTTAACCTGAACTTCACTCTAGAAACTTTTTTCCACAAAATCTTCCAAGAATTTGATGCATAAAATAAAATAATTTCATTGACCATGCACTGGAAAGTTTACTTTTGAAATATGAGTCACAGCATATGTACTGTCCTAGAAAGGCACTATTTCCAATGCATGTATTATTGATTATTGATATACTGTATGTATTTGATTACATTTGTGTATTTTGTAATTGGAATTTTTCAGATATAAAATGATGTAAGGTGCAAAAAAGTACACCTCTGAGGATATTTTTGTACTTGTCAAGGACAGCTTTTGTTCAAAATGAAGTGCATTTTGAAAATAGTATTTCATTGTTAACTGAATGAACAGCTCACTGCTGTGGTTCTAAGCTGAAGGAACAAGCAACACCAAAAGCCTGTGATAGGACGAATGAAAAGATGCTACAGGAATTCCTGTTGATGGTGTATTACTAAAGGCAGGCAATATACCATGAATGGAAACTTTAAATCAGGCCAAATCATTCTGTGTAAAAATGAATGTAACATACTTCATTGTACCATTACATATTTGCATTCAGACATGCAGAAAGTTTTGCTTGTTCATAGATTTTTAGAAATTAGTGTTTGAAAGATTTATTTACACCATTTTGCAAATTCAAAGTAAATGTATTTTAGTGATAAATGTTTCTTTTCATTTTATTTTTACGTCTGTTATTGAATGAAAATTTGTACCAAGATGCATTTTGATAAACAGTGTTGTGGCCCATTGTTGCGTGTAGTTCTTGTATCTACTATGAAATGAAAAATGCAGTTGTTGCTATTTTGGATATTTCCATGCCTTTGACAGTAACTCTTATTATGCTGCACTGAATGTTCTACCTGAAGCACCATGTATTGACAGCCTTTAAGCCTTTAAGAATCAAGTGTAATTTGAACTCAAGTCATCATGTGTGAAAAAGAAATGTATTAAAAGATGCTACTTAATATCTTGTCTTGAATCAAAAAGGACTGAAACATAAGTAATATTGTAAATTGACAGACAGTGCCTTGCCCAGGTTATTCATCAGATCTTGCTGCTTAAAGTCTTCCTTTCACAAATGAATAAAAATCAGATTAAACTGCCTCCTCTTCTCCTGCATTGTACTACTATTACTACTGTGTGTGATATCTGAAGAAATGAACTGTTTCATTTATGACATTCTCACATATTTATTCAGGTTTATCTTGACATACATGCAATGTACAGATATCTTTACATTACTCTGTAATAATACAGTGATCATACCCATCTAAATTTGGCCTCATGGTTCACAAGCTTCCAGTTGCAGTTTTACAATCAGCCACATGGTGGCAGTTTACCCTCAGTCTCCAATGAGGGTGACATGGCACCGGTTTGAAATTGATTCAGTTTATTCACATTAATTTAGGTAATGATCCCTGTTTTGTCAGAAATAGAAAAGTAATTTTATTAAAACATATCTGTACATATTATATTTAAAGACTTTGGGGTTAATTTTCTGTAGTTTACCACAGCAAACCCAGAATAGCTTTAAAACGATCACAATCTTTAAAGCAGGGCTATACTGTGGAAAACCATGCAAAATTAAAACTGCTGCAAATGATTATTCTGCAAACATCTTAACACTGTGCACTGAGTAGATTTTCGCTCTTAGAAAAATACTCTAATGCCACATAGTGTCACATATATTCTTGAAATCCCACTTGAAGCATTCAGGTTTAAACTCAAAAGTCAAATAGTGGTATATGATAAACCCAGTGACTGACAGGCAAGCAGATAAAAAAGCTCTGATCTACAGTTTAAATCCATGAATCTGGGTGCAGAGTACAGACAGCATCTGCCTCTCCTGCTTAAATAAGAGCACATTTCCACAGCCACATGCTCCTTCCAGCTGAAAGTTCAACAGCTTTCAACTTTTCATAACATCGTATCATTAATATGTTAAATGAAAATAATTTCTTGCAGTATGTGGACAGCACTTCCCTCTTTATTTGTGGTATATTTCACCAAATGAAGGTGGTAAGAATTCAGCTCTTTTTGCAATAGGAAATTCCGTTAATGTCTTGTTTAACTACTTGATGAAAATCAACCATCTCTTTCTCAACACCAAATGGAGGTTGTGTTTTTTCATCTCCAACTTCCCCTGTGTGTGTGGTATTAGTGGCCTGAAAAGGGTGTCGAAATGACTCACACTCTGAGCTGCTACATGAAGATAAGATGCTATGACACTATATGAACAAAACTCACAGTAGATTTCTGTGTTTCACATAGAATGACTCAGTAAATAGCCATCCATGCTTCCTCACTTTATTCGTCTTCACATTAATTCACGTCCTTTCCTGTAATACCAAGTTGTCAAATATCTTGTTCTAAATATGATCAAAGTAGGATTTTGTCTGATGACTCGATTTCTTCATTCACATTGTACACTGGCACAATCTGGGGTAACGTGCGGGGGCTGAAACTGCTGTGGCCATTTTGTTTATATTTCAAGCTTCAAGAAAAATAATGTGCTTGTCAGTGCCTTTCAAAACAAATCATATGCACTATTCCAAAAAGGTTAATTTTGTCTTCACTGAACTTATTTATGCTTTTTTCTCATTGATAGACAAGTGCTTTTAAGGTGTTTCGATAAGAAAAAAAGCATAAATAAATCATATGCGTGTTAAAGGAATAGTTCCACATTTTGATAGATGCACTCTCGTGTAGGTATACTTAATGTGAGCCAACAGTCAGTTATCTTAGCTTAGCACAGAGACTGGAGACAGGGAAGCAGCTAGCCTGGCTCTGTCAAGTAACATTATCCACCTACCAGCACCTCTAAACCTCACTGTGCATGTTAAATAGTGAACTGAGATACTGGTTTTCACAGACCAATCGTTTCCCCCTGTTTCCAGTCTTCTAAGCTAAGATAACTGACTGCCGGCTGCAGCTTTAGATGCAAGAGTGATATCAGTCTTCTCGGCAGGACAGCAAATAAATGTATTTTTCAAAAACAGCTCCTTTAAATGACTAATTTTTTGATCAGCTACCTGTCTCGTAGGGATGGAGGGTTAAGTCTGTGATGCATTACAACACTTTAGAATCCCTGAAAGATACCAGAGAATGTATCACTCACTGACTGAAAAAATTGCAGCAGCAAAGTCTATATGACTGTAAACTATACAGCGTGCATGTTTTAGACCTTAGTTCACACAGAACTGTATGCATTTTAGTGAATGTGTGTGGTATCATTAATGTAATGAGGTAGAGGCTGAAGATGTATCGTAGTTGCTTCTCATACTGCACCCACAGCTGTGGTGGGAGTTGTTATTTAAGATCAAGTTCAGTTTAGGCCTTCTCCTCTTTGTCTTGTCCCAGCTGTCTGTGCTCATCACAGCCAGGCTTGTTTCTTTCCTGTGTCCCTGTGGCCTTGATGTTTCCTGCTGCAAAGGACGCTGATTGGCAGAACATCTTGATTAGCCTGGTACATACAGTTACACTGAAACAGCTGAGCCTCCTCAAGAACAACAGCCCACTCTGTAACCCATGCATGGTTGGTATACAGTCACCTTGTAAATTAAGTACAGCACAGTTGTAGCTGTAGAGGGAAGTCAAGTGAGATATTCATGGTGCATTGGTCCAGAGTGACAAGAGGAAGTTACACAGCATGGTGCATAGTACATTCTGGTTGTTGCAAAAAAAGGGGGTAATATTAAATGATATAGCAATAAAAAGTGATAATAATAACTTTTACAGCATCTTCCTTGAGGAGTCCAGACATCACTCCAGATACTGAGTATGGGGTGGGATGGTTATGTAGATAGGACGTCACTGGAGGCTCTGTGTCAAAGTGAAGCGATGCTCCACACCACATGAAGGCTTTTGGAAGAAAACAAGTGGTAGCCCTTTTCTTTGCCTGGCTCCTCATTGCTTTTCCTGCACAGAGGGAGGGGTGGTAAACTGACAGATCACCACCAATCAGCAGTGCAGACTAAACACGGATGCTTGTCCTCGGAGCAGGAAAGAGCAGGAAAACAGAGCAGGAGGAAGCATGTTCTATAATTAGAGAAAAGTGCTGCTGACATTATTGATGGAGATACTATATCAAGATCATTAACATATAGAATGAAAGGTACAAATCTCATCCCATACTATTAAGACTGTTCTTAAGTGCAGCCTTAACCTTAAAATGTAGTGAACTAAATCTCACATGGGAGGTTACTACTTCGTTGATTTTCAATACTATGAACTACGATGAACCCATATACATAGAGTTCCATGCTGAGCACAATAGTGAGAAGACAAGTACACCACCCAAGACGAACAAAACTAACAAATATGTCTCAGCAAGCCGTTATCTTAAACACTATGAGCCATGAAAGTCTTCAACGGCATTTCACAACCACGACATGTTGACACTTTATTTCCACATATTTCCTGAGAGCTAGCTTTGCAGTTATCTTCCTTGTTTTGACTTCCTCTTTTCAGCGTTGACGCTCAATGGTCAAACGAATTGTCTTGTGCTCAGTATCATCATTGTGAACTTTTGTGAGAGGAAAGAAGAGCTCTGCACTTGGACTCCTCTGCTGCAACGTCAACAGGTAACACTTTGGCTTATAATTTCTAAAATGTTGAGCACAAGAACAAACATTTTAATGTAACAAGATACATATCTACATGGTATACTACTGTATTAGGTCTTTCTGGTTTGAGTGGTACCAGTGTCTTGTTCATTTATTCTGCAGAGTCATCTTTGATTTTGCGGGAGATCAGGCCCCCCACTTAGTGTATTTGACAAGCTGAGTTGGACACTCTGTATCAGTGAGTGTCAGTTTGTCAAATACCCCAAGTGAGGTGTCACTTGTCTACAACTTGAGGTCACCCTGGGTTACTCCACACACTGACCAGCCGACTCCACAGGATGACCTACATGCCAAGGAAACTGAATGCTTCAGGACAAGAGCCTCGAAATGTGATTCTTGTGACTCTTTTGAGGATATGGACAAGGAACAAGGTTTACAGCAGTTTATTCCACAAGAATCTATATTTGTAATTCATGAGCAAAGTCTTCATAGAGATGCTAATATGTTTATGTTTATGTTGAACCCACTGCTGTTTTTTCAGTCTCTTTGTTTCTAGGTTTATAGCACAGTCAACAGAAATCTCATCCAAACATAACACATATTATTTTCATACTTCCATCATGCAATGTGCATCCAGATGGCTGTAGAGGTTAAAATAACTTTATGAAAAATAATAGTTCAAAACACATAAGAATGGAGATATGATATACAGTATGTTGCCTGTGATGTAAATGATCAAAAATAAAAATGCATATCTTGACTTGATCTTTTTTTGTGTAAGAGCAAATCCATGTAGTGGAAAAATGTGTATGATCAGTTTCTACTCAAGCAACGACTAAAGTGATAATCAACCATGAAGAAGAAGACTCTGTATCTGTCAACTCTGTATTTTCTTCATTCAGTATTTTGCTAAATTCTTTTGTCAGCCTTGATGAAAGCGTCCTCTGTCTACCAACATGGGACTACATGTCTTCTCAATTTCACAAGTCAAATCAGACAGCAACATGGTCAACACGGCCAATAAAATATTCAGTGACCACGAAGCTTCATCTGTCTCTATCTCATGTGTCTTCTGAATCTTTGGGGGAATTTATTTGTGATCACATGATTTGCCAAAATGCATCAACCCTTATAATGGAGGTGAACAGGGTGGAATTTTTACAGGCTGATCTCAAGTGTTATATTCATTCGGAAGGTAAAGAAGTTCTGCATCCAGAAGCTTTTATCTGATGACACGTATCAGCCTGCCTTGCACTTCCTGTTCCTGTGGGGAAGCTGCATTCCCTATATGTGTAAACCTGTTTGACATTTGAACACCAATTAATGGATAGAGTCCCACCAACTCACTGACACCAAATAAGGCTTTATTGTCATGAGGGTTTAAAAGTTTAAAATAGCACGATGTCATCACTCATATGTACTGCTACCATCCATCACTATATTAATGTCTACTACTGTGCATCATTGCATGGGAGGCTGGTAACACATGGTGCACTGTAAAATGTGACAATTTGATCTTACTTAAAAAAATCTAGGAAA